CCCCCCGTCTCCGGCCCTTTTCGTTGCCACATTGGAGGTTTTGAATTTTTCCAGACCTCTGCTGTTTTTCACAGAGGACTGGCTGCGTGACATAAGGCTGAGTCACACCAGGCTCTCCTCCAATCCCGCGGCCCCGATCGCGCCCCGGCAGCCGTTGCCAGGCAACCGGGCCTGCGCCGGTACACCGACACACTGAGGCCTCTATTCGGCTGTAACCTTCTCCGGGCTCTCACCTTGTCTCCTGTGAAAAACCCTCTTTCATCCAGCAGAGCCCCCCCCCCACCTCCCCATCCTTTTTCTTTCTTTTTCTTCTCCTCCTCATCCCTCCATCTCCTCCTGAACCAGGTTAATGCATTCATCCTGCCCCTGATAGGGTGTTTTCTTTCTAGTCTTTAGGCCGGCCCGTCCTCGCCCATCTGGCAGACCTGGTGTGATTTTATTTTTTCATTTTTTGATTTTTCCGTCCGGCTTCGTTTTTTTGCTCCATAATCTCACAATCGTGCCGTTTTTTCTTTTTTTTTTTGTCTCAGGCTCTGGATTTAATTATTAACCTGTGATGCGGTTTCTGGGTCTGGCGTATATAGCCGACGCCGTCTTTCATATCGTGCACACGCACGTGCACGTGCGCGCGGCCAGACGGCACACAGAGTGTCCCGAATTGCGCGTCGCCATGGCAACAGCGCACCAACACATCAGAAAGAGGAGAGAGAGAGAGAGAGAGAGAGAGAGAGAGAGAGAGAGCAAGAGGAGGCAATGAGATATTAGGAACCGGCAGATGGATTGATAAAGATTTGGAAAAAAAGGGGAGACGATGAGGGGGGGGGAAGTGTGTCAAAAGAAGAGATGGTACAGAGAAAAGGGAGGGCAACCGGGGAGAAAAAAGGGGGAGCAGTTTGTGTAGGCTGAGAGAGATGAGACGAGGAGGGGGGGGTGACACAGAAATAACGAGAGAACTGGAGCAAGTGATGAGATGTGAGCCATTCTGTCTTGATTTTGGAAGTAGAGGCAAGAAAATGGTGCCTCGCAAGAAGAGTTTAACTCTAATTCCATCCGAGAAGCTTTAAACACCCAAAGAAAAGCTGTTTAAACTCCTAGATACATATAATATGAGTCTGTATGCTAATATGCCTGTATAATCTGTATTATCTATCTATCTATCTATCTATCTATCTATCTATCTATCTATCTATCTATCTATCTATCTATCTATCTATCTATCTATCTATCTATCTATCTATCTATCTATCTATCTATACTTTCCAGGAAATCCTGGAAAGCGCAGCTTATTTGCCCCTGAGCGTTTTTAGTGTGTAAGGAGACAGAAAACGGGTCTTGAAATTTTTCTGGGGAACATTAGAGAGACTTCCTGTTGAAACAGGACTGCGTGGGGAAACTAGAATATCAGTCCCAGATCTGCCCCTCCGGCATGTTTCTGCACATATTTCTATGCGCGTCGGCGGCATCCGTATTGAATATTAAACGGAATTTTCCTTCCCGAATCTTTGGGGAAATCGACGGGTTTGTGCGTCCGTTTAAGGGCCTGGTTCCTAAAAAAAAAAAAAAGGCTCTGGGACCGGGGTCAGCCAGGGTCAGCCCCAGGAGTGACATCATGGAGGAGCACGCGTGTGTTTGTTTGGTCGGCACTGTACCGTGTGATCCCAGTGTGTGTGTGTGTTTGTAGGTAGGTGTGTGTGTTTGTGTGTGTGTGTGTGGCCCAGCTGCTATCCGACGGCCATTAAAAGGGACGCGGGTTTGGATCCGGCTCTGAGAGGCGTGTCCTGGCTCCAGATGGCCGCCGTATAATAATCCTATATTATTATATAATATAATATAATAATAATAAGCCGCAGTATAATCCCGAGTCCCCATTTTCCAGCTTTGTCCTAGTCTAGTCCACTAAAACGCCGGCCCTCTCGGCCTCCAACAGGCTAAAACGCGCCTTTTATTTGGATGAAAGACAAACACTGGACGTTTAGTTTGCTGACTAAGGCCTCTCCTCGTGGGGATAAAGATCCAAATGTGCAAAAAAACTGAAGCACTCAAAACGTCCTCAAGATTAAAACAAGAACAACCAGAAAGAGAAACACAAACGCTTTCAATATTCCCTCCCTGTTACTTTAAACTAAGCCAACTCTTTGTCCTCCACAAGTATAGATAGATAGATAGATAGATAGATAGATAGATAGATAGATAGATAGATAGATAGATAGATAGATAGATAGATAGATAGATAGTCTGTTTAGCTAAAGACCTTTTTTCCTAAGTTTGGACAGCAGAGCGCGCCACAAAAACCAGCCCAGGACCATAAACAATATTTTTTTTTTTACTGTTATTCTAACCATAAATGATCAATAAACCAGCAGTTTTGATCACATGACCCCTCTCCTGTCCAGGTATCGGTTATGCCTCCATCGTGATCGTGTCCCTGCTGAATATCTACTACATCGTCATCCTGGCCTGGGGCCTCTACTACCTGTTCCAGGTGGGTTTCTTTCTTCTTAAAAAGGAGCGTTGGAGGTTGGAATTACTCCTTTTTTTAATGTGAGAATATTTTAAGATTCGCTTGGAAAGAATCGTATCAGCTAAGTTAACTCTTAAAGCCCGATCCAAGAATAAAGCAAAACAGAAAATTACTTTTTTTTGGTTTGAAGTCTTTATTTGGCCTTTTCTATGTAAAAAGAAAAAACAGAAATCGATTTTTAATATTAATAATTTATTACAATGCTATAAGTCGAGATTATTTTTTGTGTAATCTTCTGCCCACTGTTATCAGGTATATCTGAATGTGTACAATAGGATTTTGAACAAAGTTTTTACCATAAAATTATGCAAAAGGTGTCAGACGCAAAACATTTCAGAACCAGTATGTATCAAACATGATACATTTGGCATTACAGGGTTAAAGTTAACCAACGTAAATCAGTTCTTAAGAAGAAGAATCATGTCCAGCTTGGCTTC